AGTCACTGGACGACTCAGAGCACAAACTCTGAAGTGTCACAGCTGTGAAAACACAAGTCTAAAAGCCAGGGAATGTCCATATTATCAGTTTTGTGCTTGCTTCTCTCCTGGCTGGGTGTAATGGAAAACAATAGCTCTTGGAAAGGCACATCGAGGTATTGCAGACCGGCAGCCTGCTGAGTCCAGAGAGCTGCAGGGAGCAAATGCTTCATCCAGCCAAACCCAGTGGGAATCTGTTGGAGCTCCAACATTGTTTTGCTGACACAGGAAGATGTCATCACAGCAAAATATGAAGGAGTTAACACATTATGAAATACAGTTTTGGCAGTGATGCAGACAAAGATTGTTTTGTTTGAAATGCAGTACCAGCAGTGTTGGTTAACAAGGTAATGCAGTCACCTTGCCAGTCTAAGTCATTACATTGTGCCTTCTTTTTCTAACATGTTAGGTCCAAATCCTATGAAACAAGCTGCATAATTTTAAGCCCATAGATAGTACTTTGCTTCAAAGTTAATCCTGATTTAATGTAAATTTCTGTATAGTAGCTGGTTAGAATAGCAAGTGGAAGTGCTAAAGGAAGCCTATATTGCACAGGAAGAGAAATGACAAGGTATCAGTGTGGGTTTACGTAAAAAAAAAAAAAGGAATAAAAATGTTTTAAACTTCTTGCCAGTCCTATCCATTTACAGAGTGAGAAGTAAGGAGGGCTGTCCCATGCCTGCTTACACACACTGCTGAGGGCTCGGTGCACAAAATTGCACAACCAGTTTCAAAATTACTCTTGGCTGGTGCAGGCACTCTGACTGCCCTTCCAAAAATAAAGGCAAAATTTTCAGCATCACAGAAGACTCATAAACCACCTACGCTCCTACATCTACCAAGATCAAGAGAGCCCTGAGTCCCATATAACTCAGATAGTCTAGCCATGTATTTACTGCTGAAACCTGACTTTTATAATCAGGTTGAAAGGTTTGCAATCAGCACTTCGCAGGTGTGACATGAAGATCTTCTATATTCAGGACTCAATTAGCTACCTGCCTTTCAGCTGAAGATCTGGTCCCCTGGGCCAAATTCTTTACCATACTTTTGCATAAGTCTGGGAAACAACCCTTCTCATTGGCATTGCTGAAAATGAACTTCCACACTCAAGTAGGCAGCTATTTCTCCCACATTTTTCACCATGCTTGTGCTCTCATTAAAGTACATTATAAAGTTAGCAAGCAAAAACTATATTCTTCTGCAAGATCCTTGCCCAAAAATGTCCTTTGAGTCCTGTATATTCAGGGTCCCCTGTATATTGTAGCGAGTAGCAATAAGTACCATGCTTTGAAAATATGAATCTAAGTCAAAGATTAGCCCACATTTCAAATATTAAAGCAGTTTCTCAGGTAATGTTTCATAAATAGGGCTATTCCAGTTTAGGATCTGGGTCTAAAAATGGCACGGTGAATAAAGAAATAGGGAGCTACTTTTTTTTTCATGTCTTCATACTGTCTTGTTTGTTGGTGTCATGACAGTTAAATAGGTAGTGACCAGAATGAAGCCCAATAGCCAATTTACACTTAACTAGTGTAAAATAGTTCTTACTAATTATTGTGGCAAACTTTAATAGTAAGTACTTACAAAAATGCTTAGGAAAATAATCCATCTCATGCTTCAGTTCCTCATAAGCATCCCTGCTTCCATGTTTTTTGCTGGATATGTCTGTTAGCATCACTGTTTTGGTAACTTTCTGTTTTAGGACAATTTCAGGACATGTTAAAATTCAGAGGATACTATTTTGTCATTTCCCCTCTATTGAGTAGTATGTTTACATCAAATAGTTCACCTGAGATCATGCTGCAGTTCCCAAAGTAAGGTGAAACTCTGCACAAAGAAGGCTGGCAGTATAGCTGTTTTAATTTTAAGAATGTACAATGATGTATGTGCATATCTAGAAATATAGAGGGAAAAAATCCTGTATTGCAAGTTAGACTATGGTCTTAATGATGAAGACATAAGGCATTCCTTAGCTAACAAATCACCAATTTTTATGTATTTTATTTTTAATAGGATTTTTGATACTATCACAAAGATGTCTTCATTCTCTGCCAAAGGGATCTGAAAACACTGGAACTAGTAAAATATTTCCACCTATTACACTGGTCTGTTAAATATTCAACTAATTTTAGAAATTCCTTTAATTAGCAACTACAGTATATCATGTCCAGATTCATTTTTCTACTGTACGTGTGGGATACCTATGCAAACAAAAATGGGAAATAAACAGAAGCTTTTATCTCTGTATTATTTATTTCCTGTTCTTGATCTGAGTGAAACTGAAGTGAAATAAATATTAAAATTCTTTAAAGGAAAAAAAAAAACAGAAAACACATCCAAGGCAGATTTCATAACAGCAGAACAAGAATCATTTTGAGTGGCAATGCACTGGCAATAACTTTTGGCTTTGGTTCACATCAATCTGGAGGCCCAGCTACACAAGCCAAGCTGGCTCAGAATCTCTTCTGAACAGGCATTAATCACCTTCAGTGCTATAATATTCCAGAGGTCCTAATCGGGACAGCCCTTTGCACAGATGTAACATACTCACCTGCCACAGTCCTTCCTCTGCCAGTGGTCATGGCAAAAGTCCCTCTGACTTCTCTGGTGTTAGAAGTCTGGCTGGCCTCCCCAAATTTCCATGCTCCCTGCCTTTTCCCCTCTTTCCCACTTCATTCTCTTTTCCTGCATGTTGTGAAATCTGAAGGATTTTAGTGCAATTCATATTTTCCTCTTCCCTTTGTCAACCTTTTCTTCCTTTGCAGACTGGTTCTGAACCATACGCTCAAGGACGAGTGGAGGAAGCGCCTGTGAGCAGTGAGAGGGGTGACGAGCCGGCTCGTCATGTTTTCTCCTTCTCCTGGTTGAACTCACTGAATGAATGATGACTCACTCTGGCTGGCTTCTGGTGTGCTTCTCCTGGGAGGGACCGTGAGCACAGGCAGCCTGGCTGCAGTCAGCAAAGAAACTGGCCTGGAAAGGGGCATCTGAGCAGGTTTCATTCCCAGGAACTCAGTTGGCCTCCACATCATACACTTGAGATGATAGATCTGAGAGGGATGGGAGCATGGGGACAAATTACTATACTATATTGTAGTCAAAGTGTTTTCCAATAATTTTTTACTTGCAAGGGGAAAGTAGCATCACTACAGCTTTACGTTGAGCACTGCTAGTGTTTTGTTACTCACCTTTTGGCACATCCCCTCATAGGGGTAAGCGCCTCATCAGTGTTGTTAGCTAAAATGCTGGTATGATATTCACTAATACCACCCTTTGCCAAACCAATGTTTCTTCTCAATATCCTCCTGTATCTCCACTTGTTGGTGCTGGGGACTTCAGTGACACTATCACATCCTCAGCAGCCCCAAATCAGGGTTGTGTCTGACAGTACCAGTGCCTCCACAGCTGCAGAACACGGGAGGAAAGAAGGAAGCTGCCATTTCTGCCTTTGGACTTGCTCTTCCTGCTAAGCCACAACAGATGACCCTCACATAAACACTTTATTTGTAAGGAAGATTCCCAGTGGCAGGAATGAGGAAGATGCATGCACCAAAAGCACTGGCCAAGACCCCCGGCGTGGATGCAGGACACAGCTCTGAATATGTGGGGCAAATGCTGTAGTGCTGCCCAGCCTGTCCAGCCATAATCTGTGTCTATGTCTTCTCAGTCATCAGTGTGTGTAGAAAAGGGGGCATGTTCTTACATGAAATCAGAATGCAGTGAGGTGGTCACAGGTACTCAGTCAAGGTTTAATTTGAAGTCCCAATGGTGCGCTGTAGAAAAGGCAGATGCTGACTGTCCTGTTCCATGTGCCTTGCAGATATTTATCCATCTAATGAAATCAAATTTGTGACTTAAAAGAAGTTCTAGAAGTTCTATTTAAGGTGGCATTCTGCAATTTTTGTCACTGGGAGCAGGGTGTCAACTCTCAGTAGTGTTTAAGAGAGATTGGAAGGCTGCCAGGAGTGCTTGGTGCCATAGGGGACCAGGTGTCAAGCTCTGCACTAGGGTTACATGTGGATCTTTCCCAGATCCCTGAGCCAGGCCCTCAATACAGTTTTGTGTGAGGTCGTAGGGCTGCGCTGTGTCCCAGCAGGACTGGTGAGCTGGCAGTGCAGACCAGTTAGCAGGCTGTGTGGGGTTAGTCCCCGTCCTGGACATCTGCCGCTATTGGCCTGAGTGACATCAGCCCTTGTCGGTATCTGTTTTCCCCGGAGAACGCTCCTGAGAGAGTTTGTAGGGCTGCACAGGCGAGCTCCACGTAAAGATTTGGAACTCTCACAGCCCAGAGAGAGCGCCGCCCAGCACCGCCACCGCATCGCCTCCGGCTGCTGGAGCAGCTTTTCTCTGGGACGTGGTTCGGGATGAGGAATTTTCTATATTCTCCCAGTCGTCCTGGGAGATTCCCCCTAGCTCCTCTGGCAGTTTCTCCACACATACTCAGAGCCCCCGGGAAGGAGCCCTCTTGGACACCTCCACCGGGACGGGGGAAGCCAAAGCGCGGAGGAATCTGCCCCTTTAGGGTGCGGGGAGGATGTGCAGAGCCAGAATGAAAACGTAAAAGGGATGCGGGAGCGCCTCACCGCTTTCCCATCGCTGCGCTCTGGCGGGAGGAGGCTGCCCGGCCCCAGCCACAGCGGTAGGAGCCAATGAGCCCCCTCGGGGGGTTGCCGAGATGGGATTCGGCAATGCTAGGAGGCATCGATTTGCCCTCGACACCCCGTTCCCGGGAGTAGCCTGTGCCGAGGGCGGCGGCGTGGGGCAGCCCCCGTCGGGGCGCACCTCTGGGAGAGCCGGCGGGGACGGGGGCTTCCCGGGGCGGGGAGGGGAAAAACATCCCCGGGGGCTATATAGGGCTCCCCGGGTGCCCGCGGACGCGGGTGCCCCCCTACGCCCCGGTAAGCGCTGAAGGAGGCGGAGCAACCCTTAGGCGTCTAGGCAAGAAAGTCTATCAAGTCGTCTTTACTTTGCAGCTTTTATTAAAAATATAAATATTAAACATTCTCTTACACAACCAAATCGACCGAGCGCTGAAAAGATGTTTTATTTTGAAAATGTTTACAGGAAAAAAAGTGAATTGAAAGTAGCTTACAGAGATTCCCCCTCCCACCTCCCTGCCCCTAGCAGAAAAGTTTTCTGTCTTCTTGGCACCATTTCTTCCAATGCTCACACATCCCTACGTAGCGATGGCACTAGAATAACTGGGAAATGGAGAAATAAATAAAGGTAGGGGAGGTTACGAACGACACTCGAGTTTCTGCACTTGGTACACGGTTGTGCATGCTAGTCAAGGGACAGAGGCTGTTCGGAGCACACCCTTCTAGGTTTAAAGCTATATAAAAATAAAGAGATGACATCAGAGCAGCACTATGGTACATCGGACGGTGTAATTATTCTTGTGCTAACTGCGGAATCTCTTTGGCAAGGTGGGGCGGGGCCGTTTCACTTCCCGATTATCTCCATCAGTTTCCTGTTGCTGTGAGCTTGCTGGGCTAACTGCTCGGCTCGGGCCATCTCCAAGACTTCTCGCAGGAGGTGGAAAGTCAGATCCAGAGAAATAGGGGGCTCCTCGGATCGCTTTTCCCTCTCCACGGCCTCACCCTCGGCTTCGCCGTTCTCGGGGCTCCCCGGCGAGCGCTTGGGCAGCTGCTGCAGCTGTTGCACCGCCGCCCGGAAAAAGTTGCTGGCGGAGGCTTCGGGCTGTAGGTGGCTGGTGCTGCTGGAGGAGGCGGAGAAAGAGCCAAGGGGTCTCTTGTGGAGGTTGCCCAGGCGCAGGAAATACTCTTCTCCCATGCGGAGCAGGACAGGCAGAGTTTGCTGCTGCTGCTGTTGCTGCTGCTGCTGTTGCTGGAAGAAATCTGGCTGGTGCAGAGCCCCGGAGGCGGCTGCCGGACTCTTGCTGAGAGCTCTGCACTCCTGGCAGGGCAGGAGGGCGACCAGCAGAATTCCCGTGGAGACCAGCAGCGGGATCTTCATGGTCGGGGCCCAAATCTGCGGAGGCAGACGAGGAACGGGGGTTGGGTTACACAGCCGAGCCGCAGCGGCGGGGAGGGCAGAGCGGGGACGGGGACGGGACGCCCCCGCCGCCGCTGTCCCGGTGCTGAAACGCGCCACTCCGCGCCCCTCCGCGCCCCGCACACCGCACACAGCATACCGCACACCGCCGCCCGACCGCGCTCATCCCGGCCCGTCCACCCGCGCCGTCGAGGCGGCTGCTCCTCTCAGAACAGCCCCGCGGGGCAGCTCTGGACAGATCCCGGGGACCAAGCTGGGTTGAACCCCTGCAAAGAGTCCCCGCGTGTGCGCGGACCCGCGCCCCTTCACCCACTCCGGGCGAGGGGGAGAGTGGAGCGTCTGAGGAGGGGCAGCTCTCCCCAAGAGCTGCGGGGTGCTAGCGTCCGCTCCCCCGAGTCTCCCCGCACCATGGCCGGTCGGGGCAGCTACCCACGTTCTGGGGGACTCCGCGCTCAGCCCCGCTCAGCGCAGGGCAGCGCATCCCTCTCCGCGCCAGGCGCGGCCCCGCACTTACCTGGGGCGGCGGTGGCGGTGGAAGGGCAGGGCAGGGCGGGTGGTGGGACTTTGCAGTGCCCGGCGTCCCTCCTCTCGCTGTCCCTCGGAGTCGGCTCCTGGCGAACTTGGGATCAGATTTGGTCCTAATCAGAGCCGGGGCGCGGGATTTTTATAGCTTAGACCCTCTCCTGGAATCACGCAGAACTTGCCTAATAAGCTGACGCTCTCCTGACAGCCCGATTGCGTGCCCCGATCTACTGCTGAATAAATCATGGGGGCCCGTCGGAGCGGCGATGGGCAGAGTTTCGCTATCGCAACCCCAAATCTCACGTCCAATTATATCAACAGATATTTATCGCCTCTGCAGTGACGTCAGCCGGGCCGGGGGCCGGGGAGCAGGATGCCCCCCCCACCCCATTGACAAAAATACTTGAATGAGATTTCCTAGCGAGCGCGTACTATGAGGGGTCACTCCGGGGAAACTTTCCACTCACGGGCCAGCCCTGCGGGGCCGGGGCTGCTATCCCGGGTGGACTCCCTCCCCTATCCCCGGTCCTGCTCGGCCCCCGCCGCCTCCGATCCCGCCCGCAAGGGGCGACTGTGGCGGGTCAGTACAGGAGGCTCCGAGAGGCGCGCGTTTTGCGGGAATCCCGCTTTGCTCCTCGCCCCGGGCAGGCCGATGCAGCGCTTGCCCTGCAGAGCGGGCAGAGGCGCAGCCGAGCCCGCAGGGAAGAGGCAGAGCAGATGCCAGTGCTGGTGCCGGTGCCGGGAGGGACCCACGGCATCGCTGGCACCGGGGCTGCCCGGGGACCCGCCAGCGGTAGAGGGGGCGGAAAGCCCCCGGGGGTGGCGGGGACGTCCGGGGCCGCCGCCGCCGGGGCCGCCGGGAGCATCTGCCGGGGAAGGGAGCGCAGCCCGGGCCGCGGTCCTCTCGTTCCTCCTCCCCTGCCACCACCTGCGCCGCCGCCTGCTCGTCCCGGCCCTGGCTCCGCGCTGCCGGCTCACGCTCCCCCGGTCTGGCCCGTGCTCCTCTCCATTGTCTTCCCACTTCTTGTGTGGAGGTAACAACTGGTCTTTTCCCCACTCCTCGACTCCACTAGCTGATCTTCCCCACCTCTTCAACCCATGGCCATATACCTCCCTGTTTGCCCTCCTCAGCTAAGGCACCCTCCCTCCGGGGTATCCTAATCCCACGTGGAGCTCTCTTTGAAGTGCTCTCCCATGTCCATTAGGCTCCAGACCATATTACACCAACCTCTCCAGCTGGATTTCATGCCCTCTGATCTCTTCAGGAAGTAGTGCTGCCTATAGAAATGACTTCTGCCCAACACCCCTTCTGTGTGTAATGTGTGTTCTGCCGTTTTTGCATCCCATCATCCTCTCCAGTGCATCTCAGCCGTGCTTCTTCACTGCCTCGGTTGCAGCACCAATCATGTCCTCCCCTTTAAACTGGAAAATTTTACAGAAAACCTACTGGTTTTATCTTGCCTAGCCTGTAAATGCCTGGGGTCACGCACTTGCGTGTCTCCCATCATAGTGAGGTGTTGCAACAGAACAGGTGGTCATACGCTATCAATGCTAAATAAGTGATAAATCTGCAATCCATTTCCTTAATAAAATAACAAAGTTCAAACAACTTAATGCATTAGGTTGGCCGCAGCCCAATTCTGAGCATCTCCTTAGGCATGTAATACACTTCAATTTTAGTTATACCTACCTCCAGCCTCGGATGCTTTTGGTGAAGTGCCAAAGAATCAGATCTTACGCATCATGAAGAAACAAATGGAAAAACAAGTAGTAATATCAGAGATTTAGCTCTTCATTACCTCTGTTAGCTCAGGCATTCATGAACTGAAATGCGTATTACAGAACATAATACACTGTGTAGCTAGTCACAGCAGAAGCTATTTGTATGCTTTTAAAGCGTGTCAGCACGGCTTTCAGTGAGAACAAGAGGTTCAAAGACACAGGAGCTAAGTTCAATCAGTTGATGGAAAATGTAAGAGGTACTTACTAAACTCAAACCCTTCAGATGTGCTCTGGGGTGGGTTTTATCACCGTGTCTCCATTTTTAGGTTATATACTCTTTAAAACACAAAACCTCTTAAAATAATGTGATCATAGATGTAAAGAAGGAAGAATTCTGATCTGAATACATTTTTTTAATGTTGTGGATAAAATCTGGATAATACAGAGCTGCATCCCTCCGAAAGATTGATGCCAATGAGAACTAGCTCAGGTTATGTTTCATTTTTAATCAATTACAGTATTATTTAGGTCCCTTTAGGCAAACTCTTTTGGCCTGTTTTATCCCTTAAAGAAATCCAGGTATAGCAAAAACAACATAGAAGCGGGCTAGGATTCTCAAATTTTCACAAGAGCTGTACAACCCGCCAGTTTCTTCTCCCCTTTTTACTGACCCCTGACATCTGCAGTGTCTCATGCGAGCTTGTTTCTAATCCTATACGGTCTTATTACCCCACTTCCCTCATAGATCCTCAGCGATGTGTGAAAGGGTTTGCAACAATTTAAATGCAGGGAAGACTGTGAGACATTTGGATACCTTGATAATGAGGAGTATAAAATATCACAGATACACAAACCAAAAAGTACTTCCCCCAGCACTTCAAATGCAGAACTGACTGCCTAGGGGTACAGAATTCCACTCTCCAGAGTCACTAGTTTCTAAGTGAAATCTCACTACTGAAGGAGATTACAACAGAAGAAATCATGGGTTCTCATCAGAGAGGTGAAAAAGAAAGACAAGGAGGATATCAGGTACATCTGGATTAGAGTTTAATGTTTTGTGAAGTAATTTGAGATTAGCATACCCTTCGTAAGAAAAGTATTCATATTTGACTCATTCCACAAGCATCAGGAGCAAACAGAATTTTTACAGTGAATCATAAAATAACATTGTCTAGAAATAAAAAGCACTGACAAGGCCCATTTCCTCTCCACCGACTTGGGTTGAGTGCATGCACCCTTTAGCCTTAGTGATCTCAAACTCAAGCACCTACTGAAAAGCAATTATAGCTAGTCTGATGTAGCTAAGGGAAAGCAAAAGCATGCCCAGAGCATGATACATCCCATTGCAATATAGTACTTTCAGGTTTCTGGAGAAGCTCACCTCATTCTCTTGCCTATAAAGGGAGTGCAGACAACTACCTTAGCTAGTCACTGAATTTTTAGATAGCTAATGTGAGGTGTGAAGAATCCCCTCCTCACTGACGGACCATAGCAGAGAGATCACACAGTTCTAAATATAGTAATACAGAGGGGATGATGTTAAACTGAGGGCATGGCTCTTACCCCATGTATTTTTGAAGATGTCCAACTACAAACATGGAAGGACACACGCTCAATGTAGATCAACTTTCTACCACAGTGCAATGTTTCATTACCCCTCCAGCCTTTGTCAGAAGGCAGTAAGGATTTTTCCTATTGTTGCATTCAGCAAACCTTTCCACATCATCACACAGAACCCCTTCATGTGATCACCACCATTCTTGATCCCTGTGATCAACTCTCTAACATGCACTCTTACCATCTGCCATTATTTCAGGTAAACTCAGTTCATCTCACCCACTCTGAGGTGCCAGTAATCATACACTGACGTGTGTGTGCATCACATTTCCATTTCACCTTTTGGTAGTCCTGGTACAAAGAAAACTAAATCTGATTGCCATAAACATTATGGATTCTAGGACAATTGGGAGGAGAGAAAAGAAAAGAAAAGAAAAGAAAAGAAAAGAAAAGAAAAGAAAAGAAA